TCATTCTAAAGAGCATCTGATTGGACAAAAATCTGTGTAGTGCAGGATGAGTCAACAATATTTTTGTCTTATGTTCCCCGATCAGAGAGACTATACATTGTCTGTATATCTTCTAAAGGTGTACTGTCAACATTAAGGAGTGCATCTAGATCACTTCAAAGCTGACATGCATGGACCAAAAGCCACAAAGCTCAATTTTGATTGATGACATGGTATGTCTTTTGAGTTTAATCTTTTCCACACTCACAGTGGCTTTATATTCTTGTTACTGGCACACTTCTGACACATCTTCTCCGAGGTGGTGAAGACTGTCTGTACCCTAAGGGATGTCTGCAGCTGAAATGCCCCAGTTTGGCAGTTGGCTGCAGGTCACTTAGGGCTTTCTGTGTGACTTTCCTGAACCATGATACACTATCTTTTTCACCTGAAGCAAGTTAATTACCCAGTGTATGAAACTTGTCTGAATTTGTGTTATTGGTGTACTCTTGCACTGCAATAGCTCACTAAGACGAATTACTCCTACAGTAATCAGGTACCCTAGCAATGGTTTGTGTCACGCCAAAATGCTATTGCAGACTTTCTGCTCATTGAATTGGTCATCAGTTTAAACCCAGTATGGGTCTGTTTACCATGAGTAATCTTTTGTTTGTAGTTTAGAGGTCTGCACGGGCTTTAAACTGAAGCCGGAACCCGGCCCGTACCCGCGATCATTTAACCCGACCCGACCCGACAATTACATTTACATATTAAGCCCGAACCCGACCCGAACCCGAGGTCCATTCTGTTTCTCACAGCAAATACCATTTTTGCAATATGTTATGTTGTATTTAATGATTGCTTGACATATTAAACAAATACATGTAGGCGCAGCGGCCCTATAAGCAGGCAGCACAGCAGTAAGAGAAAAAACGTACCAATTACGTAACTTTGCTGTGGTCGAACAGGTGTAACAGTCACACATTTCTCTGGAACTCAAACTTTAAACTTTAAAAAGTTCACGCACTGTGTTGCAAAACTATTTACACAAACATCCTTCTCAGATGTACCTGTCTTTTTGCTGTCATACGCCAAGACAGCTTTGCAAGCTCTACACTGCACGTAACCACTGGGCTCTTTACTGGTTGAAACGACAAGATCATAATGCTTCCAGATTGCAGCTTTTCCTGCATCATTTGGAACTGTCATAAGTTTTCCCTCAGTAATTTTTTGCTTTATCAGACTCATGGTTTGCTTGTTGTCGTCTGCTGTCTGTCTGTATTGTGACTGAAATAGCGCGTGAGAGCGGTAGCACATGCGCAAAACAGTTTTGTGATATAAATGATATAAAATAAAACAAATAATTAAAAAAAATTATATTTATATATATATATATATATATATATATATATATATATATATATATATATATATCTATCATTATCATTATATTTGAGAGAGAGCCTGTGTGTCTGACTGTGTGTATGCACATATTGCACATCTGCGCACGTATGTAGGCTACTTTCTTTCTCTCGCGAACTATATATAGCCTATTTAGTTTTTCTTAGTTAAACCCGAACCCGACCCGAACCTGAGGCTGTTCATTAAACATTAACCCGAACCCGACCCGAAACCCGCACATTTTTCGGGACCCGTCGGCCTCGGGTCGGGTAGCAGACCTCTAGTGTAGTTACTGATTGAGTGTGCCGGATGTATCATTGAGAGTGTGAGTCTGGTGTGTTATAAAATCATTAGGCTGTTCTTCATCTCTTCCCAGCTCTACTGATTATTAGTTTTTTGTCAGAATGAGTAATCTCACTGAACACTTGTAATTTGTCTGAAAATGCTTCTATTTCACTAGTTTGTTACCTCAAATTGTGGTAAGACCTTTCATTTAGTCCCCTTTCGGTTGTGGGCATATTATAAAGAACGACCTTACTACTGTAGATATGTAAACAGTGCTTTAACACTCGTGATGAGAACACGCATACGAATCAGTATTAAAAATCATTTGATTTGTTCATCGCTTTTCAATGTGACTGTGTCTGTATCCTCTTTTTTTTTTTTTTTTGCATTGAAATCATGTTACCAGTGTTAATTTCGTTGACGAAAATAACGACGAAAATTATTCGTCAACGACATTTTTTCACAGACGAAAACGAGACGATAACTAAATAAAACCTAGTTTTGAAAGACAAAGACTATGACGAAAATCTATTGACATTTTCGTCAACGAATAAAAACTAGACGAAAATGTTAGATAGTGACGATTTGGGAAGCGATCCGTCAGAACTGATGTCCTGCGTGTGTGGTAGATGCGCACATTTGTAGGCTACTGTAACGTGATCTACCCCGCGGTCATAAAACGTTAAAAAATGTGAATGTCTGGGAGAATGAGTAGGGCAGACATATAGATCTCTGAATAAGAGTGACGATGCAAAAAAGAGCTCTATTCGGTGCGGTTTTCTGTGCGCACACACCTAACCCGAAGCGTGCAGTCATGCACAATACACCTACAGCGCGCGAGTAGGCTACTGAATTGAGCTCTCTTTCGTGTCTGAATGGAGAAATACACAACAGTATGTCTAAATGTCCTTTTTGGAGAGTATTCATGTAAACTATGCTGGTTATGTCTTAAACTGTGAGTGTGTCGGATGTGCATCAGTGCAATTGTATCCGCATGTCATTGGACATGATCCGACGTCTTAAAGTGACAGTGGCAATAAACCTAATGCGGTCCGTGTCCTTAATTTTGATCAAGCAACAAAAGAAAAAGAGAAAAGCATTCACTGCTCGTTAATAGCTTTAATAAGGAGGATTAATTATATTTAATTCATACAAATAAATATGTCTGCTTGAAAGAATAAAGAATGATGTGTAAGTAGTTATAAGGAATGAATATATCATTCATTGTAAAGAAGACTGTGTTGTACTTTAGGAAAAGTGGTTTTATTTCATTTTAAGATATTTTTTAAGTAACAGCAGTTAAATCTGTATCTGTATTGCATGTTCAAACTTAAAAATCATTCATATTAATAGGTTAATAGATGTTTTCTCCGGGAGTATATGGGTTTGGAAATTTTAGAGAAATTCTAAATTAACGCATTACAATTGAACTAAACCCATTATATTTTAGTCGACTAAATCTACTGTAGATTTAGTCGACTAAAATGTTATTGTATTTCGTTGACTAAAACTAGACTAAAACTAAAACAATTCAGATGACTAAAATATGACTAAAACTAAATGGCATTTTAGTCAAAAGACTAAGACTAAAACTAAATCAAAATTTGCTGACAAAATTAACACTGCATGTTACATGAACACTTGCTAGATGCGTCTTAGAGAGCTTGTATTTCTTGTGTAAACAAGTTGGTGGAGTTCAAGCTGAAATTACTCTAATGAATCAAAATAACCAGGAATTAGGGCTGGGTGATATGGCCTTAAAAAAACAGTGTATTGTGTATCAATAAGTGTATTGTGATTGTCAAAACATTTGGTAACTAAACAAATTTTTTTTAACCATGTAAACACAGTGTTTACATGGTACAATAACTGGTATGCTGCTGTTTTTATTATTGCTTTACACAAATTTCACAATTTTAATTAAATTCTTGTGATTTGATTCTGATCTTGATTCAATATCAATTCCTTTGGATAAATATTAGGTAGCCTACTACAGTAGATACGTTAATGTGTTATGTTAGTTGTTCTCCCCCCCCCAAAAAAATGTATGTTTTAATAAAACATTCAGAAAGCCCTGTCAGCTGGTATTATCAAAGGTAAAAACTAACTCAAATTAAATATAATGCGTTTTTTATAATAACAACGTTATAATATTTTAATGACATAGGTAAAAATATAATAAATGTGTAATAGTTATGATATTTAGCAAAAATACTCCTCTATAGCAATTATTTTAAGTCCAACTAACATGCGTGCTATGGTCATTAAAAGGCATTCCTGAGGTAAATGTAACGTTGCGTGACACATGTTGTTCTCCTGCTGTTTTATGGACATCTTCCCGCGGTTGAAAAACTGATCGATCGATTTCATTACATTTCGGCAAGTTATACTGTATCTTTCAAGTGACATTAATCATTCGTGTTTATTTACTATTAACGTTAACTATAGTAAAGAGTAACAGATGATCGGTTCACGTGCCACTTGAACTGAGATCTGTCAGCGATCTTTCACGTCACATTTACAAGCGCCAAAACGGTGTTTATTGTTTGAATTTCGTAATAATATTGATAGAATCTGAGAGCTGAGAATCTGTTTCATATCTATAGTAACCTGCTCTGTCTAGTCTGTTGGTGTCAGTGTGCTCTTTGCTGCGCGATTTTTCTCTGCGTGAGAAAATGCATATGTGCGTGAGAGCGTGTAAAAAATGACAATTGCGTCTCTCAGAGTGAACTCGTGAGAGTTGACAGCCCTGCAGATTCAGTTTGTAAATGTTTTCGGCGGGTGTGCTTCTGCTGCCGCGGTCTTGTTCATTTGCCATGTTGTTTGTGTATCTCTATCATGGCAAGCGCTGAGCCCGGTCGGAACTACGGGAGCCCAGATGGGCGCGTCGGCGGTTGGTTGTTAAAGAGAAAACCGATTTTCATTAAAAAAAATCAGCGTAAACTACACATTCGAGTTAATCGATAAAATCGATTTATCGCCCAGCCCTAAAACAAATCGACGTAAACTACACATTCGAGGTAATCGATAAAATCGATTTATCGCCCAGCCCTACCAGCAATTGATAGGAAGGCCTAGAAGTATTTGTCTCGGCATCATTCAGCTATAAAAAGCTGAAGTGCTATAAGAGTCATTGATATAGATGCTTGATTTTGCGGTTAGTGGAAACGACAATGAATTATCGGATATTGTCTTGAAGCTTTATAGTTACGTAGATCATAGTAGAGTATTCTAGGTGTTGTTTTAACCAACCGGATGTTAATAACTCTTAGATTTGCATTGTGCTCCTAGTTTTTAGAAATAACTTAAACTTGGTTTGTCTATTTTTCTTCTTTTAGGGACTAGTATTTCCCCTCAAGAGAACTCCCATAACCACAGCTCTCTGCACAGCTCCAACTCTCATTCAAATCCCAACAAATCATCAGACACGGTAAGTACCACAGTCTCAATGTCTTCTAACTTGTTTGCATCTTGAAATGAGGCAGAGATCAGCACGCAAGGCCATGTTCTTTTCTTATTGCAACAGTAACCTTTTGCCTCTTTGGCACAATCATTCTGTTATAGAATGAATGTTTATTGAATAAATCAGAACATTTTATGATACCCTACGATCCAGAAGCCTACGATCAATCAATGAAGCCTACGATCAATCAATGAGCGACGGCTCGTGGTACCTTCACAAAGAGCCACAAAATCACTCTCCAGAACATTCTCATTCACGGTTCCATGCTGGTGGAATGATCTCCCCACCCTCGTCCGTAATGCAGAATCCCTGACAGCATTTAAAAGACAACTGAAAACTCATCTCTTCCGTGAGCACTTAACTTAAAGTGAACTTAAACTTAAAAAAAAAAAAAAAAAAAAAAAAAACTTTAAATCCTCACTTGTCTGGTTTATGCTACTCTGAGCAATGTTTGAACTTTGTATTTTGAGCACTTCTTGGGTTGCTATTGTCTCTTCACGATGACTCGTTTGGTTAGTCCTCAGATGTAAGTCGCTTTGGATAAAAGCGTCTGCTAAATGACTAAATGTAAAATGTAAATGTACCCTAATTGCCATTTGTGCTATTAGTTTTGCATAAATCATGCTGAGTAACTGTCTTACTAATAGTCGCAATTAGGATGCATTAATTTAGTTCCAATGAAGTCAAAATTGAAAACATTTATCCTGGCAGATCTGAAAAGATATTTCAGACTTCTAATAAGTTGTATGTTATTTTATAGGCCATTATTTGGATCTAACAAAATGATCTCTGGCATAAATTCGGCATCACTGTTAAATGTGTTGTCTGGTTGTGTGGCAAACCTCCTGTGTGCAGACCATCTGTCCCCTTTCTGTAGATAATATGAGCTCTTCTGGGAGATGCAAGGCACAGCATACTTTTACCAGAGTAAAGAAAGGCGATTTAGCCTTCAGCATTACATCATTCATTTAAGGTTTTGAAACTTGGTAAAAATTATGATATACATTGAAATCATGTGGTTTGATTTCTTTTAAATTGACAAGCAAATAATTTATTAAAAGGTAATTTTGGTCATGGATGAAGCCAAATTGGACTGCATTCAGTGTCTTAAGTCTAAAAACAGACTGCCAAGCCATAGTAGTATTAAGGGGTTGTTTTGTAAAAAATTTTTAGAACGAACCAAGGTAATTTTAACAAACTCAATGAATGGATCTAATATTTTTGACATAAGCTCTCTTTATGAGTCCAAGATTGTTTTGGTGAGCCAGCATACAATTGGAATTCTTTAGTATTGAAATGGCATCGACATGTTATCTCTGTGCTTGTGCCACTGTTGGTATAAAATGGTCTTTGATTATTATGTTATGGGGCCACTTTTGATATGCTGCGTAAAATCTCCTCCACACTCTGAAGATGGTGAGATAATCCACCTACTTTATGAACACTCATCAAATCCTCTTCATCTGCTCAATTACCTTTCCCAAGATTTTATGTTTTGTATTAAACCTTGTAATTATGTTGAAGGTGAGAACTAGCTTTCGGCAGGCATACAGAGGTGAATTTCTTTCATGGTTTGAAATATATACTACTTAATTGGGGTTTCTTTCCAGGGCAGAGACAGTTTAGTGTGGAATGAAATTAACATCGTTAATCATAGTTCTGCATGGAACATCATTGTATTCTGAGTTACATTTTGAGAAATAAACTACCATTCAAAAGTTTGGGGTCAGTAAGATTTTTTTCAAAGGAAGTCTCTACAAGAGTTGAGAACTATCGCACAAGACCCCAATAAATGCATTGCTAGCAAAAATATAGTCAGAATACATGTCTTATTTTGAATGACCATCCAGGCAAAAAGATGCTTTTTGACTCCAGCTAACTGTCATGATAATCAACCAATCCATGACCCATTGGCCAACAGGGAAACTTGTCGTTTTTTAAAATCCGGTTAGTGATGCTAGTGGCACAGAAATTGTACACTTTAGCTTCAATAATCAGGACTGTCTGGTGTGGTGGTGTGAGGCTTTTACAGTCACACTGCTAGTAAGTGGAGGGTGTATTCAGGCAGATTAAAGAGGCATCCTGCAGGGGCGATGCGCAGAGATCCACATCATCAAACATTACACATGCTTGCATCAGGATTCTCTCTCTCTCTCTCTCTCTCTCTCTCTCTCTCTCTCTCTCTCTCTCTCTCTCTCTCTCTCTCTCTCTCTCTCTCTCTCTCTCTCTCTCTCTCTCTCTCTCTCTCTCTCTCTCTCTCTCTCTCTCTCTCTCTCTCTCTCTCTCTCTCTCTCTCTCTCTCTCTCTCTTTTTCACGCTTCATATGTCTGTCTCTCTCTAATGCTCCCATTCCCTCTCTTTTCTTCCCAGACTTATTCTTTATTTTAAACTTCCTCATACTGTTGCCCTGTTTAGCCTCTCCTTAAGTCAGAGGAAAAACAACAAACACCTAGATTGTCTTCTCTTTTTTCCCCCTCCCTTTCAGGTCTTTCCTTTTGTTTTTGCCTTTTGTTCTTTTTCCCACCCTTCCTCTCCACCTTCCTTCCTTTACCGCTCTTTTGTCTTTAACACCTCCTGTCTCTTTAAACAATCTCAATGTTCCCTGTCCTCACACCTGTTGTTTTTTCTTCTGTTCAGCCGTATGAGCCAGCAGATGATTGGTCTGAACACATCAGTTCTTCAGGGAAGAAGTACTACTACAACTGCAGGACAGAGGTGTCTCAGTGGGAGAAACCCAAAGAGTGGCTGGAGAGGTATTAAACATGCACTCTTTCAACCCTCGCCTCAAACACAAATTGTGCTTAATTATACACTAATACTCTAATCCATTTCACCTTGCCAGTGAAACATCAGGTGATCGATGCAAGTAGAAAATGTATAAACTAGTATGTTTCTGCAGAAGGTTTCCAGCAATCATATGGAAAACGCTTTTTAGCATCTCTTTGCTTTCGCATTATGCAGTCTAAGGTAGGGCTGGGCGATATGGCCATAATATTACATTTTTTTTATATATATATTTTTTTTGCTTTCCACATATTTGTTAGACCTTGAGAATGATTGTAAACTTGTTTTAAAACAATTAAACTCCACAGAGTAAGCTACGTTTTAATTTAGGGCCCCGTCAACTCTATTTTGTTTTCCATTGGATTTTTTTTTGAGATTCTGTGTTTTATTTAATACAAATTCATGTAAACTTAAATGTAATCATGTGTTGATTTAGTTTTAGTTCCAGTGTATTTGACGGTAGTTTTTCTCAAATGAAACGGTAAAAAGCTTGTGAAGTGATTCAAAGCAGCTCTGGAGATGAAATTCATGTGTTCATGTACTCGTATATTGAGACGGCAGACGTTGAAAACATCGTGAGTGTCATATGTGTGAATTTGTGTATCGGGCGAAACCGCATCATTCGTACACGCAGAAATCACTTATTAGCGACACGCACTGACTGGCTGTTGTCGTGTTTATTTCTGCTGTGTGATAGGCTGTTGGATTAATCCATATCAAGTAAAAATGTCCAGAGCTTAACATCGTTATCGACGTATATCGTTAATCGCTAATCGCCCAGCCCTAGACTTAGGCCTGTTTCACATATCTTGCATCTGCAGCACATCAGCAAAGAAGCGGTGTAATGGCAACAGCATCACGCATAAAGCTTTCAAACTGACAGTAAGTGCGACTGAGCTTTCACACAGATCATTTATGACCTTCATTAATTGGCGATGCTTCATAAAATGTTTTGCACAAGATTGTGTTTATAAATAGGTAAAATGCCCCACAACCCAGTATGCAGCAAAAATAAGCTCAGGGCTGCAACTGCTTCTGTTGTATAGAACCATCCATGTGCACTAGGGCTGCACGATTTGGGGGGGAAATCTGATTTCTTCATTTTATAACAAACACCAAACTTTTATTTTGTCAGAAAACCGCAAGGAGCCCTTAAAGCTTCTTTTGTTGACAACAGCCGATTTATAAGTACTTTGCATTACAATTTTGGAAAGATCATTGTTGTGTTCCAAAATGCATGTTATAAGTGACCTCAGACTCACTGCACACGCAGAGATGCTCTGAGACACTAAAAACAAGGCGCTGCTCATGTGTTAAAGTACACAGTGTTGCGCTTCACTTTGAAACAAGTAGCACATATATTAGCACATATGTAATTAAATCACAGCCTTTGGGATTTGATAATCGTGCTAAGCCATATCATGATATTGGTTTTACTTCGGTTAATCTTGCAGCCCTAACGTGCACATTGAATGCTGGAACCATTAATGTGAGCTGAAAATGTGCTACAGAAGCAAAAGGAAACAAGTGTGGTTTCCACTTATGAAGTAACTTGCAAAAAGTGTAAATCTGATGTGGTTTTGTTGTCTTTGTATGCCAGTATCATTTGTTAATGCCTTCCTGTTTCAGAGAGCACAGGCAGAAGGAGGCAACCAAGACGGCTGCAGTGGTCAACAGTTTCCCTAAAGACAGGGACTACAGGCGTGAAGCCATGCAGGCTACTCCCGCCAGCTTCTCCAGCTCTAGTAAGTCTGAAAACCCACATCATTCAGCTGTGTAATGTGACAAAAAAGGTTGTTTAAGTGAGTGCAGTCCAGTTTATTGGGGTAATCTCAAAAGTGATGCAGGATCTCTATAACCAGGCATGTCATGATCATGGAAACCATGGAAAAACTTTGTGATCTGAATCAAAGGCTAGAATCGGTTGTTTAGGCTTCAGACTGTGTTCTTAAAGGGGTCATAAAATGCATTTTCAGACCTTTATATTATGTTTCTGGAGGTCAGCTTATGGAGCAAAGTTTTTATTGCACTAAATTTGTATTTGTAGAAATATTTTTCCATCCTAATTTTCAGTCAAAATTTCAAGGGACGTTAAAGTAAATGGCCACTGCTGTGATTGGTGAACTTGGTGAACACTTACTGTGTCCATGCTCTTTCCCACAGCATGTGTGACTTGTTTTAATGCTCGAGAGTTGTAATAGTTGTAATATGTGTTTGAGCCCGAGTCCGATTAAAATGAACGCATGCAACCACAGAATTTGCCTCTGAGGACAAAATTCTTGGCAGTGCTGTAGTTTTCAGTACAAGATATTTAGAAAAAAACTGCAACATTTTGAGAAATATTAAGAATCTGTTGTAAAATGATACAAACAAATAGAAACATTCTTTCAATCGTTCAGGCACATAATTAATATAAACTTCAGCCATGCAGTTATTGGGGTTGCAGTTTGTTTACATTCAGGGACAGAATAACATCGGATGATCTTACTCTACAGTTTATTTCACATTTGTGATTGATGGACAGACATGAGTTTTTTAAGAGCACACCTCCTTGATAATACATGCACGTTAAGGGTCATGTAGAAAGAAATTGTGATACCACGAATGGGGTGATTTCATACAGTGGATGATTATACAGTACTGTGCAAGTCTTAGGCACGTTAGAATTTTCACAAAAAAATGGTTTAAGCCAGTTATTTATATTTTTTGATCCACACACAGATCACACACACCTCGAGTCCGTCTGTGATCACATGAAGAAACAGAAAGAACTGAGACAGACTAAATCCAGAAGAAATGCGGCAACGTCTCAAACGCTTGAAGAAACCTACCTGAAAAACTGTGCAAGTGTACCTAGGAAAAAAGCTGTTTTAAATGCAAAGGGTGGTCACATCAAATAGTGATTTGATTTAGTTAATAGAAGTTCATTGATAAATACAAAAATAAAAAAATTCATTGGAGACGTTGCCACAGTTCTTCTGGATTTAGTCTGTCTGTCTAATTTTTTTCTGGTGCCAAATATTGATAAACTAAGGTGCTCTAAATGATTTCCCTGCTCCCAGCTACTTCATGGCTCCTAGAGGTGGCGCTCAACACATGAATGAGGGAAACATGAACTTTAGTTAACTAGCCTAAGAAAAAGAGGTTTTTAACGGGATGGCGGACAGCAGTGTGAGTAAAATAATAGATGCCCCAGCCACGTTTAAGTCCAAAATCTGGACCCACTTTGGCTTTTATACCTTTGATGGGACAAACAAAATCAACAAAAATAACACGATATACAAGAACTGCCTGGTAAAAGTAAAGTGCACGGCTAATACAATGAACATGCAAAGCCACCTGCAACGGCATCACCCTGATTTTATTAAAAATTGTAATTTACTTAGTTAAAAGTAAAAAGGGAAGATATATTGACGTGTAGTATATTATATCAATGCAATAGTTTATTGAGCCTTTTCTTTTAACAGTTTTAAATTTCAGTTACTGTGTGCAATGAAGAACAATTCATAGTTCTCTCTACTCCAGTGTTGTGATCTGAAAAACACCCGGGAGAAAGTTACATGAACAGCAATGAACTCCATCAAGATAAAATAATTTAAAAAATTAAAAAACCTTTATAAATGATTTTGATCTGTAACGTGAGATTCCTGTCTGTTGGGTTTATTACAGCACGTGAATTCATCAGTTTCTCCCGAAATACATGGCCGGTGAACTGGGAGAAGAATAGAGTTAACTTTATAGTTACTTACACTGTGTGTCTGATATGAATAAAATCCGTCGGCAAATATATTTGAATGGGTTGTTATTGCTGATTCCATAGACACCATTGTGTATTTTACAAACTATAAATGTATTGTTTTGCTATAAATTATATGTATTTAAATCTCTGAAACCTAAAATAAACATTATGTGGTTAAAAACACTGAGTAGTTCTGATATATGACAAGCGCTGAGCGCGTCCATCTCTGGCTCAGCGCCAGCCACAGCGTGAAAGCACGCAGTTTGAATCTGGCAGTTCTGTCACGTCACTGTACATTCGCTCCTTATTGGTCAGCTGCTGCAGAGCGTGCCGAAATCAAAATTGCTGATGAGATGTAAAGAAAAATATCTCCGCGTTGTGCCTACGCCCCTTAGCTGTTCTAAATCCACTGTAAAACACGGCTTTGCAGGGCTTATTGCTTGAGTGAAAAATTAGAATGTTAGCCCCGCCCCTCCTCCCGATATAATCGTCCATCGCGATGTTTCACTGTACACATCGTCTGATGCCAAATTGGTAGACATCGCACAACCCTAGTCGTTACCGAACGCGACGCGCTGTTTGAATGCTGAATGGAGAATGACTGACAACGCAGCGGAGGGAAGAGTTTACGTGAACTTGAATTCAACGACTTCAATATTCAGTCCTTCCCGAAAAACGCGGCGTTTTTTTGTGATTGTTGCGGACAAAAATCCTTGATTATGCGGCCCGTTTTCTTTATAAATGCGATGGAATATGCGGGATATTTATGCAATTGTATGCGCCGAAATTGCGGGAACTTGCAAAAATTGCGGGAACTATAGCATACTACATCACAGAAAGTGCTGGGAAAATTTAATTTCTCATCTTCTTTTATTTCAGACTGTAACGAGTGGAAATAAGGTGTGGCCCCTTTAAGAGCTACGCGCTCCCTGATGAACTGTCTGCAGTATTATATTGTATGTGCCATGCGCCTCGAACAACTAATTTCTGTTTGATGCTACTACTTTTATCTTATTTTGTTTATTAAGTAACGATGTGGATGGTAGAACGTGTGACAGACAGTTATACGAGTTCGATTTGGGAATAAAGTGCGAGTTGTGAGATGCCAATCGCCTCCATGAGTCTGTCTGGCCTCTGCAATAACTTCAGCAGTGAGCTATCCCTATTTTTCTTCCTGACACAACGCGTTACTTACAAGACCTTAATAAACACATCAAACTTACAAAACATTGAGTCAAACACGTTCTGTAGCTTTACAAAAGGAATATGCAACAACTTCTGTAAAAATGAATAAATGAAATACAAAAAAATAAAGTGTGCTCCTGTTTTACAGCTTTTCGATGATGGTCACGTAAAATTCGTCACTTCATAACGTTCCCATGGCAACGGGGAGAAATGGCTGCTCTCGTGTGAAGCAAACGCAACATTTTTCAACTTTCTGCTAAGATATATGTGACTTTTTTGCTACGAAAATGCGAGGATTATGAAATCATGCAAGCCCCGGATATTTTGCACGGAAATCGGCAATTTACGCGGCGAAAGTGCGGCGTATTTGAAAAAATGCGGCCCCCGCATAAATATGCGGACTTTGGCTGTGCAAGAAAAGTTGATGATGCATTATAATGTTTTTGTGCTTTTTGTGAGGCTTAACAATAACACAGAATAGTATACGCACAATAGCGAATTTGGACCGGTCTCACCGATACCCGATCCGGCAAAGAATCGCAAAAACTTAGTGTCGGATTGGTGCATCCCTAGTTTTGTTACTTTACATATGTTTCGTTCGGTAGACATACAGAGAGATAGAGAGGATACACTATTTAGGTAGCAGATGATGCTGGAGACATTTGTGGTGTGGAGGTTAAGTATATAATGTCCTTTTGTTTTGCTGTTGCAGAGTCATTATTGACATACTCTCTTCCCTTTTTTCCACAAATGATCACAGATTGGTTTTTGTATTTATAGAATGAGTCAACATTCAGAGATTTTGCAATGTTTTTATGTCTCTAACTTCTGCTTATCCGCACCACCCACGTAAGCAGTGTCAGGGTCTCCTTGTCCATGCTGGTAGGAGTCAGCAGCAAGTCTTTGCCTTATGCAGCATGACGTGAATGCTCTTTAAACACTCCTGTGCTGCATGCTGCTATTGTTTGCTAGTCATCGCAGAAGTACTTCTCTTTGAGTTTAGTTTTCAATTCTTGGCTACATCAAAGCAGTTGGAGAGTAGCAGGTGCTAAGCAGTAGGTTTAAGGCACAGAGTTTCCACTGCCATGGAAAACCTGAGAATATCAGGGAATTTTAAAATAGTTTTCCAGGCCTGGAAAGGATGTTAACTTCCTTGACTTGGAAGTCATGGAAATTTTTGTTATGAATAATACATTTTTGTTGTGTTCTGTTCTAAAGTATTTCTCCAATTAGATATTGCTCTTGGGTAGAGTAAAATTGCTTGCAAGCGTAGCAATCTACGATTTTGTATGAATCGTCTTTTTTTCCCTAATGAGTCAGCCAAGCTAGAACACACATTATTCTAAATGATTCATTAATGAATCTTACTGAATTTGATTTAATTTTAAAAGTCCTTATCACATGACACAAATGATTGGAAAGTAATGCAATTGTCAAATAGTGTGGGAACCCTGAAGGCGGTCTCTTTTTGTTGGTCTTCTGTCAGGAATTGTAATCGCTTAACATTTAATGGACATAGCATTGTGAACAGGGAAAAGTGCTTTAAAGGTGCTATATGTAACTTTTCTTCTAAAATGAATCCTTTTTTTATTGCCTGTGTGTGAAGGGGTTGTAATCACACATTACAATGATCCACTTGTCGGGTTTTGCTATTACCTCTGAAGGCCAGTATTCCTATTTCTATGTGAAGTCTCCGGGTCGGATTTTCTGGGAAATCCATCGGATGTGACGTGCATATGCGTGCTCCCGAGCCTCTGTCCTTTTTATATACAGTCTATGCGACAGCACTGCAGCTGACGACATGGAGTCTGATAACACCCA